GTCGACAATTCGGCAGCAACCCCAAATAGCTGTCCTTCTAACGATCCTTGAGCACAAAAGAGAACGGCTATGATCAGTAGGGTCCCTTCACAGAAATCAACAATAATCGAAAAGTAGAGAAAATTTTGAATAAACTGAAAACATTTCGACGTTTAGATTTTCTTTAGTGGTTCTTACGCTAAAAGCTCGAATGTTTTCGGTTTTCGGCTGCTTGATACCGAGCTGAAAGCACATAATCGTTCGTTTTGACGGCCAATTCCTCCAAAACTTTTCGATTACTCACTCGAATTTTGTGACCAGACTGAAGTTTATGAATTGGGACTTGTTTTAGAACTATTCGATTTTCATGGGCAAAAGTCAAAAGGCACGAAGAGTAATCCTCTTTACACATCGAGTAAATTTAATATCGGTACACTTGAAGGTAATTTCCCACCAAATTAGCTAAACGACTGAATATCTTGAAAAGGAGTCGTATATAAGGCGGCGCCAATCCTTTTGCAATAATTTTTGCTAAAAGTACGGTAATTTCTCCTAAGTGTGCGTTTTAAAAGTAAACTTTTTAAAAAACGCATTACCCGAGAGAAACCCATTCTAACCCCATCCTTTTCCCTCCCCAAACCACCAAAATAACAAACAATTACAGTACGTAAACGAAACACTGATAATCTCTTCATAGCACAGTAAAATTGTTATTCTAATACTACAGTCATTAGCTCTCATTTTATACGCCAATGATGATCTAGAAGATAAAATTTTTCTTAGATAAAACTTTTCCTTTCAACAATATTCGCTCTATAAATCTCTGAAAAAGTTTTTTTGGAGCCTTTTTCATACCCAAATAAAAAGTAGAATGACGCTAAAGAAAAATGGGATTCCAACAAAAACCGTGATCGTGTGAAGAGTGGGAACAGCTAAAAGTTTTCCTTTTTTTTTTTGTGTTCCAAGTGTGGAAACCAACTGAAACTTGTGGTGATCGAGAAAATCGAAGCAGCAACCGAGACGATTGTGATGATAAATGTTGAGATGTAGATTCTCGGTTTGCTCTCATAATCTTTCATATAAATAATCGAACAAGCCCTAAAGAAGAAGGGAATTCGTACTTTCTCCTAAAAATAATCGAAAAGTTAAATGTTAGTTTTGAAAAGTGAAGCTTTTAATCTCAAGTCAAAATGGTGTTGGAAATTCTGGCGTAATCAGAAATTTTGTCCCGTGCACCGGGAAATTTGAATTTATAGAGTTTTTTTAAAAGTTTAAAATAGAGCTCTTTATTGGTTAGTGGCTAAAAATGTTGGCTATGTTTCATGAGGAAAATCTTAAACACACACATTGGAAAGATGCTCTTTTTGGTTTAAATTATACTCGTGCCAAATTCGCTTGCTTTTTCTACTTCTTAAGGCAAACATGTATATTTTTGTATGAGTCAGCGGCCTTTATGTTCATGCAGCCATTTAAAAATAATCATTTTCCGAGTTCGAGAGTAATTAATTCCGAACACCTGCTCACATCTTTTTTTTCTTTAGGCTCACATCACACTGGAAGGGCAAAGTATTCAAGTGTTGTATGGTACAAATTGGGTACAAGAGTGACGGGCTAATACACTGTCAAAAAATTATAGACGCACCCTGTTTTTTGCTAGTTTAGAGCCGGATATAAGTGCTAGTCCAGTGAAAAGTATTTTTTAGTTTCTTTAATGTAAAAAAACAACCCATCCAAAATCTCAAGTCATTTCACTCATCCAAAGTATTTTATCGTACAAAAAACGTTTTATCGGCTGTCAAAAAAGCTGTCATTTTATCAGCTATAGACGCACTTTTATTTTATCAAGAAAAAGTCAACAGAAATAAAAATAACAACACAAACCAAATAAATTGATAATGTGTGGCCCCTCCCTGCTTTAGTCCAACTTCAAAAAGACGTCTCGGCATCGAAGAGACAAGGTCATGGAGCGCTCTTGGCTGAAGCCGATTCCAGGCTACTTGAATGGCTTTCTTGAGTTCATTCTGGCTTTCGAATATTGCTTGTTTCCCTTGTAGACATCTCGAACGAGTGTCCCCCACACATTCTCAATCGGGTTCAAGTCTGGGCTGCAAGCGGGCCAAGCGACAGTGCCGATTTTGTGCGCTGTCAGCCAATCTCTTGTGGAGCAACTTGCATGAATACTCGCGTTATCGTGCAGAAAAGTAAAGTTATTGCCCGGATTGTTGTTCAGATAAACGGCTAGATGTCTGTCCAACACTTGTTGATAGTCAAGCGTCATCCGGGTCGAAATAAACTCTAAGCCGACCAGTTCACCGTCTCGAAAGGCTCCCCATACCATACATGATCCACCTCCAAAGTTCCTCATGCTGAAGACCATGCCCGGCTTTCGTGAATCCTTCCAATATCCTCGAAAAACATCAGCACCGTCAAGGTTGAACTTCTTTGCGTCACTACAAATGATCTAAACATAAAATATATAAGAAATACTAGTAAATCAACTCCTTCCCATTTGGTCTTCTGGTTCTTTTCAGCGAAATTGATACGGGCGGCTTTATGGTCCTTTGTAAGTCGTGGAGCTTGCTTCATGAGTTTGTATTTGAGTATTGTAGATCGTTTGACAACGTTGTGCACAGTTTGGCGAGTGACCGGAAGCTTCATCTCCTTGCGAACCTCTTCGAGTGATGTCGTCGTGTTGGAAAGACGTCTCGTAATTGCGCGTTCGTCTTGATCGGTCAACTTTTTTCTTCCGGCCCCGTGTTTCTTTCTTCTTAGGAGTCACTTTGGTCTTGTGATACGTGCGAATACACTTCTCAGAACGTCCGATGCGACGAGCAATGTCCCTGTTTGAGTGACCAAGCGTATGGAGCACATCGATACGCGTTTTTTCCACCACATTCAGTTGTTTTCCAAGTGGCATATCTGAAAATGTAAAAACAAAATAAACATTTATAAACATAACTAATAAGCAAAAAAATGAGAAAAACTAACAATTATCGATAGAATAAATCGTCAAATAAAAGTGCGTCTATAATTTTTTGACAGCTGATAAAACGTTTTTTGTACGATAAAGTACTTTGGATGAGTGAAATGACTTGAGATTTTGCATGGGTTGTTTTTTTACATTAAAGAAACCAAAAAAATACTTTTCACTGGACTAGCACTTATATCCGGCTCTAAACTAGCAAAAAACAGCGTGCGTCTATAATTTTTTGACAGAGTGTAGACCTGTGCATTTTTGGTCCGTTTGTCGATAGGTGTACAGCGGAAATTCACGTCTTGTACTCTTTAAAATCAACTGTTTCAAACGTTTTTTTCACTATTAGATAGAGCTTGTAAAATGCTATCTAATGGTGAAAAAATGTCTGAAAAAGTCGATTTTAAGGGGCCTAAGACGTGAATTTCCGTTGTACATCTATCGGCAAAATGCCCATGTCTACTGGCTAGTGGATAATTGAGTGGATGATTTCAACAATTTTGGGATATTGATCTCTACTCATGTAATAGAGAGAAATAAAAGTAGTCAGAGAAGTTCGACGATCATTTACATTTACAATTTACATTCGTAAGAACCTGGTGACGTGTGGCCAGGATTAGATTGTTATTGAAAAATTTTTATTTGAACTTGACTATGGACTAAACCAGAAACTTTTTTGGAAGGCTTCAAAGTTGGCCTAAAAAGAAACCTTTCTGAGAAAATAATCGGATAAATCGTGAAGAGAACGGTGGATGATGTTAGCCGCATCCAACTCAAAACAATCAGCGGAAGGTCTTCCGAAAGCGAACCTATAAAGTTGAAAAATAGGAATAAATAGCTTACTAATAAGTTTTTGTACTTCATAAGAAATGAGTGTAAAAAGCTGTTTATGCTATGAAAGATAAAAGCTAGCCTGAAATTCCTAGAGAATGGCGGTTGAAAAGGCAAAAAATGTCTAAGGGATAGCCGTTTCACTTAAAAGGGTGCTGGGTCTAAAGCTTCCAGAGTCGAAACCCTGAGAGTAAATCAAATGCACCAAATTCACGAAGCAGGGTATAATTCAAATATCATTCCAAAGGAATGAATGCTAGTGCTTTAAAGTCAGTTGAGAAAAAGAAATGGTATTCCCAGGTCGATCCCTCAAGTCAGAATAAAAGAACGAATAAAAGTCACGGTTAACGAAAAAGGAAAAGCGAGTTGTATGCAAAATTCGGGATTAGTAGCCGCGAAAGTCGAATATACGAATGTGAGAATGAGTTTATGTGATTAAAATTGTAAATAGGTGGCGTAAGACAAGGGATCAAACGCGTAAAGTTGAGGAAAATTTGCAGGAACATTCTCGAAAATGAAATTTGACTAGTGACTAACAATAAGTAGAGCCTGAGGAGTCAAAAATGGGAAGATAATTTCTTGTATTTGATGTTATGTTTTTTTTTCAATTAAAGAGTTGACCCGTTGTTTTGATGACTCCAAACTCGTACAGATTGTTGATCAATTTACAAATCATCATGATCACTACGTGGATTTTCGTGAAAACGATGATTCTAGTCAGGTTCACATGGAATTTCCCCGACGTGGCTATAATATAGATATAGGGAATGTAGAGGAATAGCAAGAAGATTAGTAGGATTATTTCGCAAGTCGAAATCCGGTACATCCATTTGTAGATTGATGGGTATTTCTGGAAAGATTTCGAGAAAAATGCTGAAAAAATTTAGAAAATTAGAACATGACTCTGATAATCACTTTCTAGGACCTGTTTCAGATGGGGATCAGGGCTAAAAACCTAGAGCCAGGTCAGGAGTTGGTGATGGATTGGAGGGAGCAAATTACCGTATTCTCTCTAATAGTAGTGCACCCAGGTGAGCCGAGTTGGTTGCTATTTTACGGTTTCCAAGTTTTCCCAGAAGCTCAACACTCTAATCCCCCAAAAGATCTCATCATCAGCTACATTTTCCAACCCCACATCGATAGGTTCTGATAAGCAGTTTTCGAGATTTCGAGCAATTTCGGCGACGCTCAGGGTGCACTACTAAGGTGCGTTTCACATTAAGTAGCGTTTATCAACTTAAAGCTGCGATCAGAATGGCATGGAAAGGTCTCGATGTCGCCGTTCTTCAAAACCTCGTCAAGAGTATCGGATTAATCGGATTTTTCAAGTGATAAATCGTTCTGGACGTATTACTGATTATTAATTGTTGTTATCGTTTCGTTTTTCGTTGTTAAAGTTTTTCTTTTACTTGAAATAAAATTTTTTCGCAAGTGCACTACTTAATATGAAACGGTCTGAATAGCCTAATTACTAAAAAAATAATATTGTAAAGTACAGTAATCTAAAAAGAGCCTTTTTTTTAGGGTTTTTCACCGTCACCTTGAAAGTTATTCTCATATTAACCAGACTTTATTTGTCATCATATTTTCGCCTTACCTCCAAAGCATTGAAATCGACTAGCAGCCACACAATGAGCTTCAATTCATTGGCTCCAAATTTCACGTTGTAAATCATGGACTGTATACTTTTGAAGTTTTTCAAGAAAAGCAATGTTTTAGTCAACCAGGAAGCAATATTAAAAAGCCAACGTCCAATCAAGTCACAAAAATGGCCAAAAACCAGACTTCACCTGTCTTGGAAGATGAAACTGAATTAATTCAACCTTCTGGATGCTCTCCACATTGCAAATCGTGCCTGGTTTAACGTAGAAGGAGAGACCATTGTTTCCGGAAGGCAGGAATAATCGTTGATGAGGAGGTTGTTTCAAACAAAGGAGATGATGATCTAATAGAAATTCAAGAACTCTAGCAAAGACTCGGATTAGAAGGTGGAATTGAAAATGACACTAGCCTTACAGATTTTATCGAGATCGATAAGGAAATATTTACGAATGAAACTCGTTCTGATAGTGAAACCGTTGCAGAAATTTTGTGCCGTAAGGATTCGTCGCATGAAGAAAACGAAGCCTCGAAGGAAGAAGTTACACCTACCTAGACATCTAAATCAATTTGTTTTTAGTTTTTCTGCTCTTCTAGTGTGTCTGGGTTTGCCGATCTCGTCATATGTACTGTGTAAGAGTAGCTTTGAGTCTATGCTTACATTTTT